TTCTATGTTTCCGGATAAGGCCGAACAGATGCTATTGGAGTTGGAACAATTTATAGCCAGCGCAGACGCCTTCAATGTGTCCGGTACTGATGATCTCTACGTTCTGCAGGAGGATGGCGTTTCTCCCGAATCCAAAGCTTTGGTCACGCAGGTCAGTTTTTATTTAACCCAAATTTTTTAACGACATTTTCTATCAATGCTCCAATTCTTCGCTTTCGCTCGAAAAAATGTTCTCATTGAAGTTTTCCCTCCTTAAAAAAAATTATGTCTGTATTTAAGTGAGTAGTTCTCCAAAAACCCGAATATTTCAGTTACTTGGTCATGTCAATTTTTTCATCTTGTGGTTTGGTACAGTATCGTCTCTTTAATATGTACTTTCAATAAATTGAAATAATATATCCCCCCCCCCCGTTTGCTTGAATACTGATAAAAATAGTGAAAAGTTCGATGGTTCTGTTTGTTCCTGTACACATTTTTCTTTTGAATCCTTCAGTGAACCCATTTAGTAAATCATGCCCACAATCAGGGGTATTATAAAACAAGACTTAATGAATGGTAGTACCCAATAATATATTGTTCGAATTACAAATAAGTCTGAAGTTACGTTACTGACTAATTTAGTGGATCCATTTTTTGAAAATTGCTAATGACTTTGAATTAATTTAATTTTTTTTCTTTTTTTCTTATTTATCCATTATTACCCTATTATTATAAAATTGGCTCACTGTTATATCCACAACACTATCCACTCATAACATTGTCAAAACAGCTTGTTAAATGATATTTCTGAATATTCTTCACATCTCATTTTCATATTTGAGATGTTATAATATTATAAAAGTGCACCAAAAGTTGAAAATGACAAACGAAGAAAACAAACTCTTGGCGCTTTCCTTAGTAAACGTTTGAAAATAGAGTCTGCAGGCACCTAGTACTTTTTCATTTTTTGGTGCAAATAAAAAAATCAATTGATACTTCACTTGATTCTCAAATCAATCGGGTTACAAATCAAAATTTGTTGAAATTTTATCAAATTTGCCAATCGATTTGATTCTACAATTCAACAGTGCTAATTTTGTGAATTTTTGTTGAAAAAAAAAAAAATATTCGTGAGTCGGAGTTAATTGAAAAGAATCGATTCCAATTGTCAATATAGAAGAATGAATCAAATTTGTGAATCGATTCGATTTGTGGAATGCAATTCATAAATGTTACCCCCTCTTAGTAGTGGTCTCTGCACGTATATAGATTTTTTTTTTTAAGAAAAGAGACAAATTTACTGCTTTCATAAGAATTAAAAGCTCAAAAATCTTTTCTGCGACTTTTAGTACCCTTTACTATACAAGGTGTTGCACATCAGCCCGAAGATAAACTTTGACATGATGCGATTTGATGTACAACACCCTGTATAACATCACATTTACACTTATTTGGTTCCTTAGCTCTGTCCTATCATCAATCTCCAATGACATATCAACCTGTAATCTTCACGAAAATGACGCTTTTGTAGGTACAGATAGAATTTCATTTTTCCCTGTCTTAGAATAATCATTTTACTGCCTTTAAATGGAGAAAAAATGTTCGAATCCTCCTTCGTTCTGCTTATTGATCATTTCCCTTCAACAATCTGTCCATAATAAAATCTGTAGGACAAAATAAATGAAATTGTAGATAGAACAAAGAAGCCCTCAAAATGAAGGTTGAAGGTTTGTTATTTATTTGTACTTTTACGAAATTCCTAGATCAATGGTGGATCCAGAGTGCCATTTAAAGGGGGGGGGGTTATTTCTAAATGTTGTGCTTATTCAACTTTTCTGACTTACATTTGAAAATTAGGCAAAAATATCTTGATTAGTCTCATTTTGGAGGGGGAAATTCTCCCCTTCCCCTCGTAGATCGACCAGTGATTTGGGTATTTTCATCATTTCTCGAATGCAGCAGACGAAATTCTCCTGAGTATGACTTGAGCCACATGTCAAAAATTCGTATATGATCTTATCAACTAATACTTTTGAAAAATAAATTCAACTCTGACTTCATACAAAATATGACGAAATATACTCCCAATGTCTCACTTTTTGGTAGAATTACCCGACTATCGAGTTTCTAAAACTGACGTATAATTCTGTATTAGGCCAACTATTTAAACTTTATGAGTGTAATGTCAATAAAACTTCCATGCACCATTATTGCGGAGTTCAATGCTTAGTTCACCTCTCCAATTTTAATTTCTCTCTCCCCTCGTCATTACATTCCTTCGACGGTATCCTACGATTCTATATTAATGAGCACACGTTTTTTTTGCGTGGATTTTTCTCAACTAACTTGACGTGTTTCTATGATAACCTCGAAGGTGTTGCAAAGAATCGAAGATGTGACCGTTATGTGTGAAAAACATATTACGAATTTACGAAGACTACTAGTGAAGCCAAATAGACCTATTCAGTCGGTATCGCCAGAAGTTGTCACGAACAATGCTCGCGAATTAGCCGCCGAAGAGAACCAAAAAGAATTTAATTCGTGTTTCAGTAATGGCTTGGCCGAGAAAAGGTTAGTCACTGTGGGTTTTTCACACTTTCGTGTTTCTTTGACTTTACGTAATCGTCTAGTTTGGAGTCGAAGTCGAAAATTCCGAATTACTGTAGAAAATAAGAGATCTGTTTGTTTTAGAATGAATTACCTGATGAAGTATCTCATGATCCAATCATAGAACTGACCCATGCTCATTCGAAGGAGCGACATATTCTGAAAGAGCTATGGATACCGAAAGAATTTACGTCGAAGAAATGAAAAGTATCATTTCGGTTAGTAGTTTGACTTTTTTTTGCCACGTCGTGGCTGTCCAATGTTCATTTTATTATCGAAACTCGAGTACCTTTGCTCGTGAATACTCGTTAATTGCACTGAAATCATTCCTACATTCTCATAGAATATGAATTTTCAGTTCCTAAAATAAACATTCCCATAAATGAATCATAGATGATTTAAGAGATTGGTGAATTTATTTAAACGTGTACTTGTATTTACAGGGTTACAGAGATAAAATGTACGATGATGATATTAAAAATCAGGTTCCTGAAGATTATTTGGAAAAGAGAACATCCTGTTTTGCAATATCGACGAGTTGTGTAATTTTCACGGAGAAATATTTTTACCACAATTAAGTTCCTCAATATTACATGTAAGCAGAGTTGCCAAGTTATTTGTTGCACAGGTTTGTATTTTTGTACCCTTCGATTGCTTTTCAATGGATTTTGTTCAAATACGTAACCCAATATTATTTCAATCTCCCCCTTCGGGACGCAGACGTCCTTTTGTTGCAATTTTTAATGCAAGAGGCTTTCGTCAAATTCGTTTGGTGAAGAGCTTTTCTTGAGTCGTAATTATGGAACTATAAATATGTGAGAGATACTTGGGAATTTCAGCTTTCATTTGATACCAGGAACTTTTTTCGGTATTAATTAGTTGTAAAAATATTTTACTTTACATAAAATATGCTCGGCAAAAATTAAATTTCATAATTTCCTACAATAGAGGGAAGTCTGAAACTTTTCCTTACCCAGAAGAGTTCCAACCTGAGTTTCCAATGAGGGCCACTTACCTATACTCACCTTAGGGTATGCTTTGTGATTGTATTTTCAGAGGATATCTCTCACGAAGCCATTTAGCTGAATTTTAACGTTTAACTTGAAGATTTTTTTATAAAGCAATTTGTGCGAAAATTATATTTTTTTAGCATTTTTCAATATCAGGTAACTCATTAAACTATTA